ATCCTCATATGTGAGGGTTTTGGTCCTTTTTGGAGTCTCTCTGATAACCATTTTCAACATGGCGTGTTTAATCTCTGCATCTACATGGATTTTGCTTATTTCAGTGTTCTTTTTTAGTCTCTTTTTAATGTGTCTACATTTTTATGTTGGTTCTTTGAAACTGAATTCTGCTGTAGTGGATTATTTTCTGATTTTCAGGATATAGAAATATTATAGAAATATTTCTATATTTCAGAAGCATTTTCATACCTGAATACTTTACAGTTACTGTTGAGAAACAGTATCTGCTCTAGTTCATGCTATGCAGTGCATCATCTTTCTTCTGTTCTCTATTTGTGCCAAGAAGCGATTACTTAAAATGTCTAAACTGATTGAACTGTACAGATTAGGAAGTATCGTTTCTTTTTGTACCTCAGTGTTCATCTGAAGATCAATTTATCATTAGCTTTTAATATTATATTTCACTCTCATTTCAGCATATCAGTCATTATTACTGTCCTAATTTGGAGGCCAGTCATGTGACCCTAACTATATTTTAATCCTGGATTGCAATTTTCTACCTGAGGATTTTTACTCCTTGATAAAAGTCAAATTAGTGTTATAACTTGTATGCTAGACTCGTCCCGTTGTTTGGTTATTTTCTGTTCCACTGGGAACCTGATCTACTTATGTAATTATCCTCTTCTAAAACCAGGCAACTGTGTTCACTTCTGTGTTTCATTCATGTCGCCTAAAATATTCAACCCTGCAAAAAGTTATGAATTCAATATGAAACTGCTTGATTTTTTTTCCGGTACACTTCTCAGATCTTTAAAAAGTTGATATTAAACCTGTTTTTAAGGACTAGCTTTTGTAGGCATTCCTTTGGACCAAAATGTCCATGTTATCTGTAACTGATTTCCCATCAAGCTTAGCCAATGAGCCATTCATACATTTGCCGTCTGACATGGGTAGTTACTTGGAATGCCCATATGTAGAAATAGGTTCTGTTGCTATTACTTTGCAAATTTTTTTATTACTGTTTACAACAAAACTCTCTAGAATTAGAGACCAACTTTTCTTCTGTACCTTGAAGGTTATCACACCGATGGGAAATAGATGTCGATCACTCTTTAAGTTTTATATAAAGCTAAAGGCTTACCTTTTCTACTATTATGTTTTCTGGGGCTGCCTGTGGAAATCGGGCCAGATTGAAATGCTGGTGTTTTGGTACTGTTAGCATTCAAAAACAATAAAAAAATTAATTTCTAAAACTGGAACCAAACAAGTCATTATCTTGGTCATGTATCAGAAAGCTCGGATGTTATAACTTCATGTAAGTAAGAACCACAGACAAATTTAGCTTGGAAGGGGCTTCTTCAAAGTCAGATCAGGTTGCTCAGGGCCTTTCCAGTTCTGTTTTGCATTTCCAATGCTGAAATTTCTGTTCTCTGTCAACTTTTTGATCTGCAACTCAAAGAAGAGTTTGGCTCTGTCTTTCTTGCAGCCTCCCTTTGCGGTAGTGGAAGACAGAAATAAGATCAGTGCTGCTTTACCTTAATACCATAGTCTGACTGACCAACGGTTTATTGGAAGAAACCACCGAATGAATGAAGCCTCAGTAATTACTATAAGAGTTGTTGGCATCAGTGGCCTTTTTGTTGCTTCTGTATGTGTCAGATCTTCCCCGTATAAAGCTCTCTTCTTCCCCACCCCGCCCCGCCTTGGTACAGCAATTTATCTGGTACTCGAGCTTCTCTTTCTAGGCAAGACACATGTGTACCCGTAGAATTCCTATTGAAATCTACCAGCACTACATAAATACACTTATTCCTGGTCTTCCCTTCCTCTGTATCTGAATCTTAAAAATGTGTAACTTTTTTTTTCATTTTAGTTAGTTCTTTTCTGTGACGCCTTCCTGCACAAAAGTTTTTCTGCTGCCAGGAGAAAGAGACAAAATATACATACCCACCACATTGTTCTAACTGAAAAATCCTTTTTACAAAGTCTGAAGGAAAGATGGCTTGTTTAGGCTTCAATAAGTCATAGGCAGTTTATATCCTGTGTAAACATTTATGATCTCAAGATTTTTATTTGTTTTCAAGTGTTTGTAAATTCTTACTGTATTGTATTACTTCAGCTTGTACAACTACTGTTTTGGTAGGTCAACATGGAACTTCTTAATCCATGGAAAATCATTCTGTGGCTACTTGGCTATTGCATTATTCTTTTACTAAGAGTTATAAAGTAAATGTCCTCTTTTTATTGACTATTGCCTTTTAAATGAATGGTCCAGCACGTTCTCTTCTTTGAAGTCTTTCATATTAGATATAGAACTCTAAAATACGAGAATATGATATTCCAATAACTGACTTTTTTTTTTAATTCTTCCTTGGTTCTATTTTCTTTCATTTTACTCTTATTATAACTGGGAAAGAATATAATTAAAGAGCAACGATTTGCTAGACTGAAGAAAGGTAAAAATATGCTTTTTTTTAATTTTCTGTAACTTTATGCTCACTGAGTCGGTATCTGGCTCGTGATCAGAGCAGAAGCTATGCTAGGAGGAACTCAGATTAGAAATAGGTCTTTAATATTTCCTGCCCCTCTGCTTTCTTCTGGAGAAAACCAGTAAAGAGGTAGAAACTTCATGGGTTTTTCTTCTTACTGAGGTCTTGATATGCCCTAACTTTTGTTTTCCTACTTGGATAATTAAAACTTGCACAAGATCATTAGTCTTTCAAGATGTCTACTAATCAGCATTTATAGTTTCTCTTTAACTGTGACGGTTGGCTGGGGAGTTGGAGAAGCAAGTAGTACTCTGAACTGCTCCCCTTGTTGACATGACCTCAGGTAGAAGGAAGAGGAAGAAAGACCAGAGCAACCTCCATATTTGGCAAATGAGCAGGAAGACTCTCTCTTGTAATGCATGAAGGAACAGCAGTTACCCTCTTTAGAGAAGGTAAAACTACAGTAAAAAATATTTTTACCTAAAGCAAATAAAATGAAAGTGGACAATTACATTGTCTTATTCCTGGCAATCTGGCCTCTTCCCATTGACAAGAATGTAATTCAAGCTAGTTGCAACAAACCTTAAAAATGTAGACTGTGTTTCTTAAAAAAAGATGGGTTGTGTTAATGGCTAAAAAAGTCCTCAGTCAACTACTGTCATCTGTGAAATTGTGTGTTTTATTTTTACACTGTTATTAACCTACCTACCTTGTTCAAAAAGTTTTTATTTTTTGTTTTTATTGTTATTGCCTTAGTCTTGGCAGCGACTTGGACTTTTGTTAATATATAGGTATTCCTAAAAATTATTTCAGTTTCTTGTTATACTTCTGGATCTTCTGTCTTGTTTTATTTTGGTTTTGTTTTCTTCTTGAGATGTAGTATTTGACAGAAATATATGTTCAAATATGTGTTTTGGTTCTAATGGTAAATATTTAGTCTTTCGCCAGCAGTTTTGCTACCCAATTTAAAATTCAGGCTACCTTTAAAAAGAAAGGGCTAAGCATTACAGGAACATCTGCATTCAAAATAAATTACCTACTGTTTATCATTCCACCTTCTTTTTTACACAAATATTTCCCTTGATGCTGACAATTAGGTGTGCAACTATATTAGCTTCTGAGCGCATTTGCCTGGGAATTGTTTTTTATCACAGTGACTCCATTTTGTAGGCCATAGAAATCATGCTTTCTGAATATGTGAGTGGCAAATATTAGTTAGCCCCAGCATTACAGATACTCCCTAGTTATTGTAGCTGTAAGTTATTTCTGAAGTCCACAACTTCCCCCTGGCTCCCCACCAACCTGAGTCATTTAAATCACTCTTTTATGCTTTGCATTTTCTGGAAAATAATGGTAATAGTATTGTTCCTAAAAGTATGATCTTTAACTTTGATTTAGTTGAGGGGCTTTCTATGCTGAATTGTTTGCAGTCTCTACAAGCACTTTATTTTGAGTTAATTTACAAGAAATACAAGTAACTTCTGTGAAGCTTTAATGTTCTATAATAACTCTTTTACGCTCCTTAGGGAGAAAGCATATTACTACAGGTACTAGTGATTTACTTGAACAGACCATCCTTTTTTGGGTTTAATGTCTTCAACTAATTTATGAAAACACAGATTTGAATTTGTGAATGAAATACACAGTTTGAATTACTTGCTTAATTGAAACTAGGTAAATTTGTGGCAAACAGGCAAGTACTTTATTTGAAGCAACCTCCCCGCTGCCCGAAATCTTGTATCTTTATAACAATTAAAAGATTTGTGCATGTTTTGCAGGATATAAACTTATGCTGACCTAGCTTTTAAAGAAAACTTGCATAGACTGAGGCGATAAACTTATGGTCACTTATACTTTCAATTCTTTTCAGCTACACCACCAACTCTGCATAAGAATTAGTTTTCATCTAGTAACTTTTGGGGGGTTTTTTGTTTGTTGGTTGGGGATTTTTTTTAGTTTATTTGGCTGTAAACACATATTTACTTTTGGTAGCATCTTGGTAGGATAGAGCCACAGTTCGTAGTTTGAAAAATTTTTACCTTAGAGTCTGAAGAGTAGATGCTTTGTAAGTGACAGATCTTGTTGAAGACTTCTTATATGTTATAGTCAAGTAAATGTATATCAAATTGATTTCATTTGCTGTCTCTTACTGAAGCAATATGGTTTCCTCGGATGTCACAGTACTGCATGTCTGTGCTGACATGGCATGTAATGCCTGTCTGGTGGTGTTACAGCTTGTGATGCAGAAGTGGGGCTATATAAGTAACTAAAGGATTGAGTCATTCAGTGCCTGAGATTATAGTTACGGTAAGCGTATTTTGAAAAAAAATCTTTCTTCACTGATGTCATAGAATGTCATACAGTGTTCAACACTGCTTGTCTGTTGGGAAATAATTACTAATTCCTGCACTTCCCCATATGTGTACGTGTTAATGAGGAGAAGGAATTCCTTCTAAATAATAATCAATTGACTATGAAAACTTTATGTATATGTTTCTTGTTTCCTAACAGCACAACTTGGAGACTATAACGCTTCAGTACATCATTCAGGATACCTGTCAAATTACAACTTTATACCAGAGCAGAACAAAGATTTTCTTACCAAAGTAGAATCACTACATGAGCAACACAGGTAACATTACTTTTAGTTCTCTGTCACCTCTTGAGTTTTTAAAGGAAAAAAAAGATGCCAAAAGGAAGATTTAAGTTCTTATTAGTTTCAGTACAACAGTTTTATTTCATATAGCTTCTGTTAAATGAAATATATGGTTTTATCATGTAGGTGCTAGACTAATCATATTCAGAGTATGATGCCTATGTGTCAAAATGTTTAAATAAATTTCTAGCTATAACAATCAGTAGATCAATTAGCATTATGCATTATTAATGGCAACCACCTAGAACGCTGTACTAGACGTTTGAGGGGTTTTTTTGATCAGGGACATTTGACCATTTCTCAAATCCTATGTATTTCTTTTGTCTATCAGTAGAGGCGGTGTGTGTGGGGGGAACCAACTGTGAAGTGCTTCAGTCAACATTTGTGCTTTCTCTCCACTCTCCTGAGTGTAATATAAAGGCTACAGCAGATTATCCCAGTCAGTCCGCTGCTAATTATTCTTTCTGACCCTGCTAATTTGTCTCTTGTAAGACTGCAGCTTTAGAATTGTTGGTGTTGATGAGCTACTCACAAGCTGAATGCAAATATGTCAATCTAAGAAATTGTCTGAGCATTTGAGCAAATGAAATCCAAATCTCTATGGTCTTGTTCTCTCTCTCTGTGTCTTTACTGCAGCAGAGCTAGTTCTCCACACTCCTAGTTTCTTTGATTTATATCCTGAAATATCTCCATTTTCATCTCCCCCTGATATTTCTCAATTTTTTTTGTCATCTTTCAGTACTCTCACCTCTCCCTCTTGATTTTTAATTGGTAGTGGGTGTAGTGAGTAGTTCTGCACTTGATGAGTGCTGCCTAGCAGTCCAGAACATGCACATTGCTTTGTCATTTATGGGGCAAAAGAGGGATAACCACTGAACTCTAACTGCAACAATTCCCTCTGCGTAGGTACTCATCTGGACTGCTTTCCTAGCAGTTCATGTTCAGGAACACAACAGCTGAGGCCTCTACTGGAAACTGCAAATTAATTTGGCAGGAGCAGTCTCAGAAGTTTTTAGGGTGGCACTTGTAGACAGGCATGAGTAACTCTACTTTTCTTTAGGAAGCAATCATCTCGGAGACCACTGAGGGAAGATTTTTAAGAGTCTTGAAGTGGTTGGGTTGAACTCATGTATTTAGTGCTATCGTAGATGGAAATATAAAACTGGTTATGTCCTGCAGAGAAAAGACTAGAAGTTACCATTGGTCCAGAAAAAGGTGTGGTGGGGTCTGTTGGAAAAACCCTTTTCCTTTCTGGGTCCTTTCAGTGAAATTTATGCTCTCATTGAGTGTTGATGACTGAGAAGTTTAACTGCTGTATTTGAATTCATGTAAGTGGTGGTAACTGAAATTCTGAATGAAAATACCTGAGTAGACCTAACTGGGAAAAATATTTCTTTATTGTTTTAACACCTTTTTTTTGAAACTTAACTCTTTAGGCCTATTTATTTAGGAGTGCAGGGAGAGGCAGACAAATTATTGTGTATCCTGGCAGTATTTCTTGCATCCCCCTTTGACATTCATAGTGAATACTTATGTCTGAGACATGGTTTTGTCCAGATCAATGCCAGTAACATACTTCACACAAGTGGTTCTGGTGTTCACCAGGCCTTCTGAGAAGGAAAGACAGAAAGGGAGAATTTATCTTTTTAGAGTTTGAGGAGAACAGTGTTGTTTTGGAATGACATTTCTGCTGATCTGGAGTAAATAATATTTGCTGTATATCGTATGGGATATCTGTAAATTTTTATTCCTTTTAAATTGGCATTCTTAGATTACAGGACTGCAAAACCAGCCCTATAAGCATCTATCTTTTTTCATTCTTTAGTGTCTGTCCTTTGGGACACTTTCACAAAGGAAAATTAAGAGGGTGGAATTGCTGAAACACAATACAGACTTGAGAAGCCATGTTACAACTTGTATGTCATAGCTCAGTACAAGTTTTTTTTAGCTACTTTTTATGTTGTTTTGCAAAATCTGAGAAAGTAGTTCTATGAACATGTTCATATCAGGCACTGTTCAGTGGACAGTAAGTAGCTGTTGAGAAAGCAACTGTTGTCATATTGAACTGGTATAGCTTCAGAAATTTTCCTTCTTTGTTCCTCCCTAAATCCATAGAGGGATTTTTCTGTATGTAGTTTGTTCTAACAAGCTTTTCCTACCATTCTTTGCTTAACACATAAGCAGCCTGAGGTCTTAGGATGTGGATATTATCCAAATTGGTAATGTTTTTGTAGTGCTTGCTAGATCTAGCCATCAGTTTGAGGAGAAGGATGCATTTGAAATTTCATATGATGTTTCCTATTCCAGATGATGTTTGTTAGCCATTGGGTATCAACAGCTATAACAATTACGAGACACTAAGACCACTTTCTCTGGCCTGTTTATCTCACCGAGTAACTACCACCTGCTTAAGGATCTCAAGGTTTCATTTCATGTCTAATTGAGTAGGGAGGTGTAACAACAGGAAAAAAAAAACCCTAAGTCTGTGCTGAGATACTTTTTCTTCTTGTCCCTTCAAGACACAAGGGTTGATTGGTCTGGTGTAGATGGTGTATGCAAACTGAGAATTAAAATATCTTGTTGGTATGCAATGGACTTTATCTTTATGAACAAAGATCTTGATCAAAATTTAAAAAATGAAAATAATGTACTCTTGCAAACATTTTCAGCATCCTGTTGTATAATAAAATGGTCAGTTTATGTTTTTTTTTTCCATCTTTCTGACACAGTGAAAGAGATAACGTCTACTAATATTTTTCAAAAGGGAGGTGACAGTAGTCACTGTAGATGTAGATCTGAGTAAGCCATTTATCTCAGGATTGTGAAAAACTGCTCTTTTCTTGTCTTTGCTCTTCTTTCCAAATATTGTGACATCCTCAAGCCATACTGCTGGCAATGGCTTTCCAGTTCAAGGTGAATTTCAGTTTCATGGAGCATGATGTAATATTTCCTAGAGTGGCTGTTTCAGGGCACAGTATTTTGATAGACTGGAGTTTGAAAGGATGGATATTAATTGGAAGTAATAGATGTCCAGCTTTTGAGGTAAAGCCCCTTTTAAAAATGAGAATTACCACCTTTTGTGGAATGCTTTTGTATCTGGAGTTCTTAACACAATGTTATGTCAGCTTTTTACAGGTTGTATTTAATTTGCATTTGATTAATGTAATTTTATGTGTGTCATTTTAGAAGCTCACTTAGCAAAGAGTTGTTTTTACCTGCCCTTAGTTGTAGATATGATAGGATGATATGGGATGCCTTTCCTGCTTCGACGTGTGTAGATACTGCACACATCCCTCAGCCACTGCTCCTGCAGTTACTGGAACACGCTGCAGTGCCCGAGTCACTGCTCTGTGCTGTGAGACCAGGATCACTGTCTGTGATCCATGTGTGGGCACAGCACCATGTCAATAGGCGGTGGCAGATTCCAGGTTAGAGCTGCCGCTGGTCTGATCGGTTCTTGACTGGTCTTGGTCCTGCAGTTGATTGGAAGGAGCTACTTTCGTTATCCTGCCTAAAGGAATCTTGGTTAGGCCACGTTGCAGTCCTCTCAGATGAATAATTAGCAGGCTGCATGGGAGAGCCAGCTAGGTAGGGGTTACTGTTGGATTCTTTGTTTTTTAAAACTCCTAGTAAATTCCACTTAGCCCTTCTGTGAAGATGTATAATCTGATTTTTGAGTTTTTGTTTCTGGAAAAAAAAAGTCTCAGAATCATAGAAGCTTACTAGAAGATAGAGTCCTTGTAAGTCTTGCAGCCCATTTCACGTCTAGCAGCAGGAGAAAAAAGTATTTTAGTACTCATAGTTTTTAGACAAACCTAGATAGCTTTTCCTTGGTGATTTTCATAACTTATTTAATCTTCTTTCTCCCCCTTATTTTTTTAGTACATTCCTGCACACTACTTCCTTCTGAGAGACTAGGCAATATAGAATATTTACAGATACAGCTTCTTGTTAGAAAGGAAGCTTTTATAAGGGAATCGTTTCCTCATCCATTTAAACAAAAGAGATACAAATGATTTTTCTAAAAAGAACTGGTCCAGAATGGCTAAGGTAATAACATTGTGTATCATGTGCTCGATTTTTGTGAGGAGTTTAGGAGGACCTACAGCAGTGAAGAACTTGTGGCACTAGTTAATGAGGTTTGTTTGTCAGACACCGGGCTGTGGGATACTTGTGTTTTTCTGCATTTGGAGTAAATATAATATGTCTTTTATTTTTTCCTATGGTCCATATATATTTCTTTTTCCCCTCTTTTAGTGGCCTCAAGCAATCTGAAGCAGAGTCCTGCTACATAAATATAGCACGAACACTTGAATTCTATGGAGTGGAATTGCACAGTGGTAGAGTATGTTTACATTGTGATTTTTTCACTTGGAAAAAAATTATATACCTTTTTTTTTACATGAACTTAACAGTAAAAACAGTAGAATTTAAGTATTGACTTTATCATGTGTTATTTTTAATTGAAGAGTAGGGTAACTTTTCAATAATTTCTGTGTAACATAGGTGCTGGAATTTAAACCAAATAAGCTAGATCTTCTGGAAAGAGTAATAATGTATTTTTAAGATAAATTGTTTCAATACTGCTATATATTTTACTTAATAATTTTGCTAAAGTTTATGAATGTGTTAGCATGAAAGAAAATTAATGCTGTTTAGTGCTATGATGTAGTTGGCAGGTGTTCTAAGAGTTTACTTTCTCTCTGAATTTCTAACATAGTGTTAAGAATGTAGATTTTTCTTTTATTCCTTTATTCCCTGACTCCAGCCTAAATCTAAGCAGTATTTAACAGTGTGGAAGGTGACCACTTAAAATATATTTGAAGTCTTTCAGATACAGAGTGTGCATTGATAAGAAACATGTCCTAGTATTTCACTGGCTTCTGGGATTTAATTGTTTGATTACACTAGCTGTCTGAGACTAATCCCCAAAATACTATTTTTTTTTAATGCATCCTAGTGTGCAAGTTACTACTTGTGCTTTTATGTAACAGCAAATTATTTTGGCATAAAGCTTGTAGTATAGAAACTTAATGAAGTGTAGTGCAGATGATTGATTTCCTAAAGGAAGTTGACTACTGTTTTTCCTATTTTTTTTTTCTGAGATTTGTTACTAATCCTGACACTGAGAATTCTAATGAAAAAATCATCAATTTCTGTAATGATGGAAGGGATAGAAAAGGACTTTTTTTTATTTCAACATGATGTTTTCTTCTGTTTTTTCTTTATGCTACCACAAATAAGTGAGTGTTGCATTATATTTCTAAGAATCCTTAAAGTACTCCTGTATAAAGCTGCTGTAGTTATATTCATATTCATGAAATAGAATGCTCAAACAGTAGAGGCCTTTTTTAAGGATGGGAAAAAGTACAAAGGAAAGGAAATAATTGAATTGATCAAAATATGAATTGTCTATGCTCCTACCATCTGATATGAGTATCAGGAGAGGCAGCTGTTATGTGACAGCTGTCAAAGGTGGTCAGATATTTTGGTACACGTGCACTGATTGTGGGTAAGTAATCTGATGTATGTGAACAACTTTCTTACGTTTTTGTGTCTTCTGACAATTTAAAGGTGATTACCTTTAAATGTAAATAGACATCTTACTAAATCTGACTTTGGTCATTGTCCATTAGGTCATCTGTCACCTTTCTGCTGTATTGAAGAACTCTTTACTGTCACACTTGAGATTTCCCTATATGCACTTAACTTGATCAGTCTATGCCTTTTAACTTCTGTCGTAGCCTAGGATTTTGATAAGCCAACTGAAGTTCCAAGACTTCCACTATGAGACTATTCTCTTAATATTCATGAGATGCTGTTTCTGAAAGTTTTTCAATTTCCAACATCCTTCCTGAGTTGTAGGCCACCGAACTATATGCAGGATGTCTGCAGTGGTCATACCAGTGCCAAGCAGTGAAGGTAGTTGAGAGTGAGTTCAGACATTTTCAACTAAATGAAGTTTTATTGCAGTGTACTGCGCTGCTCTGTCTGAGTGGAAATACCTTCTGGAGATACCTGCCTAAGGAGTGGTTTGGGGTTTTTTGTGTTTTTTTTTTTTGTTTTTTTTTTGTTTTTTTTTTTTTTTGTTTTGTTTTGTTTTTTGTTTTTTGTTTTTTGTTTTTTGTTGTTTTTTGTTTTTTGTTTTTTGTGGTTTTTTTTGGTTTGGTTTGGTTTGGTTTTGGTTTTGTTTGTTTGTTTTTTCCAGTGCATTGTTACATATTTAATGACCTGGGGCTCACAGGTTGTCAGAATATTAGTCATGAGCCCCTACTCTGCCTGACACCAAACTGTATGATCTGAATCAAATAGAGTACGGATTTGAATCAAAGCCTTCTCTATTCCAGGCTGCTAGGATGCAGAGTGGCTTGCTGCTGTTTCAATCCAAATTAATATTTTTATCACAATTAAATTTCTTGGAAGGATGAAAATATTTGAAATGGTCTGGTTTTTGTAGCACTTGAACTGAATATCCAGACAATTAGAAGCTGCTAGGAAGGAAAAAGAAAACAAAATAGAAAAGGTCATGCCACCTTTTAAATCTGTGTCTTGATATAATTTGAATGTTGAGTTTTGTTCTCCCTTCCTTATCTCAAAGTGGGTAACGGAATAAGAAAAGTACAGAGAAGGATAAGAGTCATGAATGTTTTAAGGAAAAGCCTTCTGTAGCAGGTGAACAGCATGGAGAATGTGAATAATAAACCTTTTTTTTTTTTTTTTTTTGCTTCAGTGGCAAAAGATTTAAGGAGCTTCAGTCTCCCTAGAAAGAGACAGGTTTAAGCAAAAGGAACTTTTTCTATGTGGCTGCAATTGAGCTGTGGGGATTACTGCTGTTTTAATGGATGACCAATGTGAAATAGGTATCAAGAGTAGTTAGGCAGTTCAGTGGAATAATGATTCACTGGAGTCCATTAAACAGACAAAAAGCTTCTGGTCCAGGAGATCCTCTAGCTGTAAATCGCCAGAGGCTGAGAAGGGGGGTTATGAGCAGAGGTGTGATTGGTTGTGTCTGGAGTTTTGTACTTCCAAAACATCGCATACAAGTGCTGTTTGACCGAATGCCATAAGGCAAACCTTTCAACCAACACGTTATTATTGATTATGCTCCTGTAAGAAAAGCGACAGCACTGGATTATATCAGAGTGGACTCTGATAATAAGACAGATTGTCTTCTGGTAGATAGTCTTCCATTCGCTGAGTGCTTTGCCTGTGCTGCAGCAGGCCTGCAGAATAATACCCCTCAACAGTTGGTCTCATTTGGGAGCCCATGTTGGCTGTAAATGACGCTTTGCTGAAGATTGAAACAGTCCATTTCTGAAGCTTGTAGTGAATGTTAAGATACCTCCCCGCCAATATGCTGCTGCTTCACAGAAGCCCAGCTTTGGCAGGGTTGTTTGCCGTGCCTCCTAATATCTTCCCCCCACTTCATACTGCTCTAAATCATCCCTCCAGTTTTGTCAGATCCCAGTGCTTTGAACAGATCTAACAGGAAATAGTTAAACTGTGGCTTTTTGAAAGGCTTCATCTCTCTGGGTCCTTATGATTCAGCTCTTTGCTGCTAAAATAGTCTTAGTCCTCTTAGATTGTGTGTCGCAGAGGAACCAGGTAACACCTGGCTTTAATACTAATGGCCAAAAGAAGCTGGTGCTTCTCTTCTGAGAGTAGGATACTTTTGGATAAAGTTTCTTGAAGAACAGATGAGTATCTAGTTTCCTTAATGTTTTATGGTACAAAGTTAAGCAGAAGTCAGATGTGAGCTTTCTTTTTAGCATGAAACTAAACATGAATTTTCTATTAATGAATTAATATGAGCTCAGTTTTTATCTGCAAACATTTCTGCTTTTCTCTGAGGATAAATGTGAAGTGCTAAAACTGTAATATTCAAAAAATAGTATTAAGAAACTCAAGAGACTGAATTCAATATTTGAAAACTGTATTGAGATTTCTTGAATTCCTAATCTCCTTTTGGCTCTGGAACCACTATCTCATCTGCTCAGTAATTAATCTGATGTTAATTCATCTTTCATTTTTACTCAGAGAGACGAAGATACAAATTTTTTTTGTAGGATCAGTATTTTTTCTATATCTACAAAAATCCAGATGGTAATTGTAAATGAAATCAAATGTGAATCAGTATTTAACTAGCTAGATGCCTGGCATGATTATTTTTATCTTTATACATTTTTTTATGATTATCTCTCTAAAGAAACAAGTAAAAAGAATAGTATATACATGTTATTTCTTAGTTGTGCGATTTAACAGCACAGATGTTTTGAAAGGGAAATAATTGCATGTCTACATAATCTTTTTTTGGGAGACTCTCTTTCTTTATGCTAGTCCAAAAATCTTGTTTTTGGATTTTTTTAAGGTTTAACACAAGAGAATTCATTATAACAAATAGCATGGAAAGCCAGTGTTTTGGACTGGGGTAGAGGGTGGTGGGGAGTGAACTTTGTTCTGACAAAGCTACCAGGGAAAATAGAGTAGTTTAGCCTAATTAATCCCTATCAAGTGTTTACCTAATCCTTTATTTCTGCTAAATCATGGAGGCTTTCAGCTTTTTCTCCTAAAGCTGTTTTTTCTTCACAGTATTGATTTTTTTAAAAGCAAGAACCTGGAGTAAGAGTAAGCTCCCAAGTACTAATAATCAGGTTTCTGCCCTGCTTTAGGTTGGCTCTATCATGGCAGGGGCAGCTAAATTGCCTGCAATTCATCTCCTGAAATACCTCCGTTTTCTCCCCAAGTATTAAAATAAAGGGGTGCAGTTCTGGATTCCTGTAATATACTGGCATAAACTGGCAGTTCAGGAGCTTCTTCTGATGGAGATTCAACCAGGTCCTAACAGCAGGTCTTGGCAAAGTGGGGCAGCGGGTTGCTGAGCATTATTATTAATAATTTCAGCTGATTCTGGGCTACCTTGATGTTAAGTGTATTTGGACTGCTATCTACCTAATGATTTTCTTTTATCCTACTCTCATCTTGTCAGTATTCAGTGTTAATACACTACGTATTAAATAGGTTATGCTCATTCTCTACGAACTGCTGTGGTATTTCACTGGAAGCTTATAAATTGTGTTACGAATTAGGTTCAGCTTCACTCATTCATATACCTGTATCATGCTTCTATTCCACTATTTTCAAAGGATTTATTGTACACTTTCCACAGTATAGTTAGAGCACATGCTATCTGTTCTATTCTTCTATACTTTACTAATACAAAGAAATTGGGATTGGACACACAAGAAAACTGTGTATTCTCTGAGCACAGAGTACCATCTAGAGGAGCAGCTAAGCTACTGAAGGCTTTAAGAGAATCCATTACCCTTCACCATCCTTTACAAAACAGTCTGAAACTACTTTTGAATCAAACCTGATGTTTTAACGAATGGATTCTACACTTACATGTGAATTTATGCATGTGTTCAATTCTGTTTAGAAATTTGTGGAATAATATATTGGTACATGTGGATCATAGAGAAATAGGAACCCAACATTTGTAACTTGGGTAACATTGGTTTGGGTTTAAAAATTGACCATTCAGCATTCTCCCCTGGCCTTTTTTTTTTTTCTTTCTTCTTTTTAACTCAAGTGTTTCTTTATATGTGTTTCCTCTTGAGTATCTCAATACATATAAAGGGTTGTAAATTTATGGATGCATTTTTCCAGGTGAGCATATTAAGCTAATATACAGTTTTTGTTTTAGTTGACAATGGATTCAGTTTAGTGCCTCAAATATTCATGTACACATATATATTCCTCTAGCATACTTTCATATGCAGAACTGTGGGCACCTCCTGCCCAGTCTTTGTTGGTAAGACCTTTTTGGAAAAAATAAGGTCCTTTGTCTTTTTAAACAGCTTAGAATCAGGACATTTGTATTCAGTTCCCAAAATTCTGTGACATTTACCTGACTGATCTTGGGAAGTACTTCAACAGCTTTCCTATGCTTAAATTAATAATGCTGGACTTGAAACTTTAGTCTGATACTGACCTAAAGAATATCTAGTGTAGTAAGATGAACATTACAACTTGTTTTAATGAGTGGAAGTTTATAATACCTAGTAGATAACACTGAAGGAAAGAGATGCAGGATAAAAAAAATCCAAATATGTGATTGAATTTTTGCCTCAGGAGTAGCAATTTAGGTATAGAAAACTTGAAAATGAGTTTATAAGTAGATGAATGGGAATGACACAAATGGTATCTGTGTTCTTACGGTATTTTGCTTTTGCAGGATCTCCATAACCTAGATCTCATGATTGGGATTGCATCTGGTGGAATTGCTGTATATAGAAAACTCATCTGTACAAGCTTCTATCCCTGGTAAAAGCCTTTACTAATTAAGAAATATGTCTGGTCTTTTCAATCTGATTTCCATTTGCTTTAACATTTATTCCAAAGAAGCTTACAATACATAAGCTTGTTCTTTATGGGGTATCATGATATTTCCTTGCGTTGACATAAAAATGAGACCTGTTTCCTAGGCTTTTAATTCTCTAAAACTTTTGGACTCCTTGCACTGTGTGAAGTCTTGGTCAACTTAATTCACATACAAGTCTCAATACATGATTAAGAGGATGCTGTGGTCTTAGAGATTTGCTGCTGTTATACCTAATATGTCTTTTTTTTAAATCGGTATTACTAGTAAAGCTCAACAGCTAATGGTCTGATCATTTTGTTCTGTCATTCAGCAAGAAAATACTTGCTTCTAAGAAAAGAAATGCAAGATGAGTTATTTGGAGTTTCAGAGTTATTTGAAATAGGATAATATAATTTAGACAAATTTTTAAATGTCATCAAACAAGACTATATGATGTTAACAAGTTTTGGAGTCTCCAGGGGAGACAGCTTTGCGTTATTCTATGATACATTAGAATGCATGATAGTGCTGTAGAGAATAATCTCCACGAAGAAGTAAATGTGCATGAATGGTATTAGAAATTAGTTAAGATATAATAATTTATAGTATTTATGGGCTTTGTTATTTATACCACACTAAAAATGATAATATAAATTAGAAATTACATGAAGGCTGGGCCTTTCCTTAAGGTTTTTGGATTGGATCAGGAAGAATTTTTCCCAGTCTTTCTTTTTTAAAATAAGTATGAATTTGTTTTGTATACTTGATAAAGTATATCTTTATCATGTTATGCATAATTCCTTATGTAATTTGAAACAGTTTTTCTGGAGAACTTTTCTTATTTATGACAGAAAAATGCGTTCTAATAGGTTGTACTTGCTTCTTGTTCCTTAATTATATAAAAAGGTACTGCTTATCAATATTCCATAAATACTTGAGTCATTCCATTCTTTCATTATGAACCCAACCTAACAGGTATTTCCTATGGGAAAGCAATAAAATAGGTTTTAGTTTATTTTTAGTGGAATGTACAGCATAAGTCTGGATTTTCCTTTGTTCTTTACAATGAGTTGTCTTTCAACTCACTTGGATATTCTGTAACCATCCTAAAAGTATGTCAATAATGCTGTCATACAGCACAGTGACATCTTGTATTTTTCAATCTCTAATGGACACTAAAGCATAAGAGTTTTATCTTTCATCTTTGTGCCCTGAGCTCTGCCTTTTCATATGTCAGTCTCTCAGCTTCTTTAAACAGCTGCAGGTTTTAAAAACTGCCAACTGGAGGCACGTTTTCTGTCTTCTGCAAGTCTTGATGTGCCAACTTAGTGACCGAAGGTATGAATGGATGATAAGAATCCTGAAAACCATAGCAATGGCATTTTAAAATCCAGGTCTGTATGATTTTTAGCAAAGGGAAAGAAAGCTTTATAGCACACAAGGAATCTACAACTTCCTGTGCTACTTACTTTTACTCTTGGAGAGCACAGAGGAATAAAACACAGATGCTAAATTATTATTTACAAAAATCTATTCTCATTTATGAAAAGAAACGGAGGGAAAAAAAATACCCCACTGATTTTTCCTTTCAAATTATTTCCACTCTAAAAGATGAGGTTTAGGCAGCAATATTTTTCAGCTGACAGCTAATGCAATTGTTCCAAGCTTTCCTACTCTCTCTCTAAAAATATCTTCTTGATTTGAAAGGAGCAAAATCTAACTACATAGGGGATAATTTTTTGATATTTTATTTCTGGCTTCTTGAATGAATTAGTCATAATTCTTCATGCAGGAATGGTGTCCACTCCCTGCCCCCCAAAAACAAACAGTTGCCAGACCAGAGTAGCCTGTAGTGTATTTGTAGTGTACACTTTCAATTTCTTTGTAGACCTCAAAGCAGGATATATTTCCATAACGCCTGGAGTTTTAATGTATCTTGGTTGGGCTGCAGGTGTGCAGTTAAGGAGATTCCTTACAGAACAGTATATGCCTGCTAATGCAAAAAAAGAAAAAGTAACACCATTTATAGTAAGTATTTTTCTACCATAAATGTGGTAGAACTCAAGGTGGCAGCAAACGCCATCAAAGCACTTTACTTACTTTTAGAAAAAATACTGTGCAGCCTTAGTGGATGACAATAGTACAACTATGCCATATGGTAGTAGTCAAAGGGGACCAAAAGTTTTCAGGAACAGCGGCAATGAGAGAGTACTGCCTTGGCAAAAGGAGCATTTTCAATTAAAGCAACCTACTCAAGGAGCTGACTGATCAGTCAGAGGCAATGCAAGTCGAGGCAGGTTTAAAAAATAATTCTGGATTTAACACAGTATTTTATATGCTCTGGGAAATTATTCTTGGGGGTGCTCAATTGTTTTGTTATCATTTCCCAATCAATTTTGCAAGTAAAATATTATCTTAATGGCAAAAACATACAAGCGCTCTGTACATCAGCAGCAATTAAGGTTGTGTGTTAAATACTATTCAGTGTATACAGTTTCTTTGCTTTGAAAACTGTAGAGAAACTGCTAAAGGAATGCATTCTACATTGCTAGTTAAAATTTCAAAAACTCAACAGTCTTACAGAGCAAATTTGACAGAACCTTTCCTGC